GTTTTTCTCTTACTGTTTTCAGAATTCTCTTCTTGTAAATAAAATTCTTTCAGGAATTTTATTAGGATATGGTGTGGAATTGACCTTTTTTCATTTCTTCTAACTGGGGTTCATGTGGTTTCCTGTATTTGCAAGTCCAAGTCTGGGAAAGTCTGATTATCTCTTGGAAAATTCTTTCTTATGTGTTTATTGTTTTCATGGAATTCCAATAATTCTGTTAGATTTTTTGATTAAACCTCATATTCCCATTTGGCTTTGTTCACTTTTCTTTTCTTTTTTCTTGTTTTTCTTGAGACCTGATAAGTTCAGTTATTCTGTCTTCTAGTTCCCTTAGTCTATCTTTTGTCTCTTGACTATTGTTGAGTGTTTCTCTTGCTTTTTCTAATTCAGTTGCTCTATACATCAGTTCCAGTAGTTCTCTTTTTTGGGTTTTGTTTTGTTTTGTTTTATGTTTTCAATTTCCTTGTTGAATCTCTCTTTTGCTCCTCCATTTCTTTCCTGATCTTCCTTATTTTGTTCTGTGTGCTTTTTGCTTTCTTTAAACATATTTAGCACCATTATCTGAAAATTTTCTATTTTTTGCATTAACTTGGCCTCCCTAGGAGCAATTTCCTCTTCTTCACATTTTCCTTTTGATTGATTCTTCTTCTCTTGTGATTTTGTATATTTTACTATTTTCTGTTGAATGTGGGCAATTTTAATCTATTTTTTAAAAGTTTAAATTTGGATTTTCTTATTTTTTCTGATTTACATGGGAAAATTTTGTGATTTTAATTGGTTGAATTATCTCCACTATATTCTCCTAAAAAGAGAACCCAGAGGGCAATCTTATCCTTAGGTTTTATCACTGATTCAGGAGTTCTGGGTGTTTGTCTTCTGGAGTTCAACAAGCACGTTCAAGAGCTTTAGCTGGTCACAGATGCTGCTATAAGTGGTGGTGTAGGCTCTCCCACAATGTCCTGCTATGGGTAGGGAGTCAGCTGTTTCCCTCTGTGTTGCATGTCTGAAGTATCCCCCTCATGCTGGTGCCTTCTCAGTCCCTCCCAATCCTAGTACTCATCTGCTTAGGGTCTCAACAAGATCCAACAGCACTTTCTCACAGTGCCATGATCTCCCTTTGCCCCCACAACCCACAAACTCCCACATCTTATTGGCACAGCCTTAGAAATTGGACTACAACTTTGTCAGTTTAGCTCCCATTCTGTGTTCTTTGTTTGGGGTGTTGCCTGACTCCACCCCAAAATGGCCACAGTGAGTGAGTGCTACAGATGCTAGCAGGTGGGTTCTCCCAGTTTCTGTGCTGTCCCTGCTCCTTCTTTCCTCTATTTCTGGACTGACCTCAACTCTCCAACACCTCAGTTGCCATCTGCAATTCTGAGATCTCAATTTGTGTCTGTTTTTATTCATTGTCCAGTGGGCTAATTGCTGGAAGACAAATGGAAGTGATCAATCCCTTTGCCCATCCCTTGTCCCACTCCCTCATCACTGTAATTTTGATTTGCATCTCCTTAATGACTGGTAGCATAGTGGCTAAGACACTTGCCTGCTAACCAGATGGCTGGCGGTTCAAATCCACCAGCCACTCCTCGGAAGGAAGGTTGGGCAATCCTACTTCCGTAGTGATACTGCCTCGGAAACCCAAGAAGGGGTCGCTATGAGTCGGGGCCAACTCGACGGCACATAACAACAACATAACAACAATGACTAATGATGTTGAACATCTTCTCACATACTCATTGGCCATTTGTATATCCTCATTGGCAAAATATCTATTTAATTCCTTTGCCCATTAATTGATTGGGTTGTTTATATATTCTGGATTCAGAATATAAATCCTAAAAATATTCTCCCAATCAGTATGTTATCTCTTTATCTTATTGATACAGTCTTTGATGCACAAAATTTTTTAACTCGATGAAGTGCAAGTTATCTATTCAGTCTTTCGACCCCTGTGCTTTTGGTGTCATGTCTAAGCACTCATTTAAAACAAGTCCTGAAACCATACCCCTATTTCTTCTAAGAGTTTTATGATTTTAGTGCTCACATTTATGTCTTTGATTCACTTAGAGTTAACTTTCATATGTGGCATGAGGTATAGGTCTAATTTCATTATTTTGCATGGGGAAATATGCAAAAGTTGTCCAAACACCATTTATTAAAGAAACTATTTTCTACCAAATGGATTTAGCGATCAAAAATTAATTAATCGTGTATGTGTGGGTTTTTTAATTTTTATTTAAAAATAACATTAAAAGAGGATTTGATGTTTTCATATTCATCCAAAGAGGACATGAGTTTTCAGTATAGAAAAATGCAGGGGCAGGCTGGAGGTTATGTCACTCATAGCAGAGATAAAGTGCCTACAACCAGGCACTGGGCTGGTCATTGAAGTTCTTGTTAGCCAAGGCCAAAAAGAGAATATTTTATTTCAGAGCATTGCCCAAACAAGGACTGCCAGATAAAATACAAGAGGCTCAATTACATTTGAATTTCAGATAAAACATAAATAATTTGTTTTTTCAGGTAAGTATGCCCCAAATATTTCATGGGACATATTTATACTATAATTTTTTATTTACCTGAAATTCAAACATAACAGGGTATCCTTTATTTTTATTTGCTAAATCTGGCAACTTTGTTCCAAATGCATCAGTCTAGATAATTTTTTCTAGAAACATTAGCCAGAAAAGGAATTTATCCCAAAGTGCATTTATAAAAGGAACAAGAAGAAAGTAGAACTGAGAGCTTTTTTTCCCCCCTGTGATTTTTGTACAAGCCATAAAAATGTGGTTCAAATGAATCCTACTTTTGTCAACATTCCATGTCGGGAGTTCTTAAACTCAGGTCTGTGGAAGACCTTTAGGAGGTCTATGAATCTCTGGAAATCTAGGCCAAAACGAATATATGTGCATCTTTGTGCGGAAAGAAATCATAATTAGATTCTCAGAAGGTGCCTTACCCCAACAAGGTCAGGAGGCATTACTTGATTGCCTGAGGACATAGCTTTAAACTGGGCAAGGCATTTTTGCTGGGAGATTTGGTGTTATTACTTTTCAGGCAATTGACTTTCTGATTATACAAACTAAAACACAGAGGAAAATCTCAGAGACTTTAAGACTGGACAGTTTACAGGTCCACTGAACCATCTCTCAAATATATGAGATGTCATGAGTTTCACATCTTTCATAAGTGATGAACAGGAGTCATATCACAAGTCACGTTGAATATTATGCATTGCTTGATGATGGTTAAAGTTAGTAGGCACATGCTGTAAATAACAAAGGCCATTCACTGAATAGAGAGAGAGAGATGAGAGAGAAATGCCTATACAATGGGTACTCTTAATACCTGAACAAACAAATGACCCATTCTACTTTACTTTTTCTATAGAACTCCTTCCTCAGTTTACCAACAGCTCTTTCCGATGAGCTCAACTGGCCCCAAGTCTCTGGCGCTACTGGATTTCAGAACTCCACTAGTGGGTATGTGTGTTTGCACACCTTCAAATATTTCAATATGTCTGTGAAAAGAAAGAACAGGAATTGTGACTCCTTCCCAACATGCTGAAATGAGAATTATTAGGAACTGTTTCTATAACATGAGTCACATCCAACAATTCCCACCACTGACATAGTCCACTATACAGTGGATTGTAATTGAAATTGTATTTTAACAAAGCTGCCAAGGAGGGAATATCCCTGCTGCGGAGGCTCTATCATTTACCTCTGATGGAAATGTTTTGTTCTGTTATACATAAGGTCACTGTAAGTCAGAGCTGATGCAACAGCAACTAACAACAAAAACATTGGCTAAAAATAAGTGGAAAGTCTAAAGGTCCTGGAGCCATATGGCTTTAATGCTCTGGACTTGTAGGTAGAGACAATGCACTGTAAGTCTGAGTGAGACACAACTCAATTTGCCACGTGTGGTTAGTTCTTGATTTCAGCCTGGGCTACACTTCCCAGGCCTACAACTTGACAGGGATGCCTACGATGCTGGTGAATCTTTGCAAGTGTCCCTAACATGGTGAAAAGCCACAGGTATGACAAGTGATTTTCTACCATCCTCCAAATATTTATAAAACTGAATAAGCAGAAGGAAATATGGTAGATGAATGGCTTCTTTGTGTAAAAAAGAAGGTATAGAGCTTTGCTTTGAGTTCTGAAGGACAGAACTAACCAGGAATTCTTCTCTGACTCGGGCAGCAATACCAGAAAAGACAATAAGATAAGCCATGAAAGTTGTGGGGAAGGCAAGTATGCATGGGCTTGGTTTACTAGAATCTATAAAAAGCAGGAATGCTCAATAAACAGTTGATCATAGTAGTAACATAATTTTAATGTAGGATATTTTATACTTGACAAATTTATTGGATTGTCATCTTTAATCGCTCATTATGAAAATACTTATTGACTACTTACCACCTACTCAGGCACTGATAAGGAGCTCAGGTGGTGTAGTAGATAAGGCATATGGCTGTTAACCAGAAGGTTGGTAGTTCAAACCTACCAGCTGCTTCTTGGGAGGAAGATGAGGCAATCTCCTTCCATAAAGATCTACAGCCTTGGAAACCCAATGGGGGTCTCTATGAGTCAGAATAGATTTTATGGCAGAAGGTTTGGTTTTTGGTTTACTCAGGCACTGAGCTAGGTGCTGTAGATGTTTTTAAGGTCTTTTTCTGTCTCTGGAGTCAATTTTTATTAAGTAGAGAAATGTAGAGCCTAAGGCATTTGACTGCTAACCAGAAGGCTGCTGGTTCAAACCCACCAGCCATTCCTTTGAAGGAAGGTTGGGCAATCTACTTCCTTAGAAACCCAAGAAGGGGTCGATAAGAGTCAGATCCAACTCGATGGCAGTGAATTTTGTTTTTGGTGGTTTAAAGAAATGAAACTAATGCACAAATAATGGTAGTATAGGGCGTATGGCTCAAAAGACAGATTTCAACACAGGGCTACAGGATTCAGTGGAGAAAGTGTTCATGGAAAACAGCAACAGCCAACTCCTGTTGAGATGAGAGGCAAGGGACCTGTGGCAGTTAAGGTTGTCTGTCAGCCTGGCTGGGCTGTGGTTTCGAGTGGCTTGCAGACGGATGTAGTTACTCCCCATGATGAGATTGTAATCACCTCCATGGTGAAATCTGCTGTGAGACATTAATCAGTGGACAGGGAGGTATCTTTGGAGTGTGTCCTGCTTCCAGTATATATAGAAGAGCTTTGGGAACACTCTCTAGCTCTTTGGCATATTTTGGATTTTGCATTTGGCTGAGTCTTCATCTCTAGTTCCTGGACTTGACCTAGTGGCCTGCCATGTTGCCTGCCAACCTTGGAATTGTTACCTTCACAGAGATTGTGCCATTTTGCCTGTTGACCTTGGGTTTGTCAACCTCAAAAGTCAGCAGCTGTGTGAGTTAGAAGACACTCCACCTCCAGTGTGCCTGGAACAAGAGGCAGAGCTGAAGCCTAAGGTCAAGGTGCTTTGCTCAGCACCTAAAGCCAGCACTCTGAAATTGGACTTCTAGACTCCTAAACTGTAACAGAATAATTTCTTGTTTGTTAAGCCATCAATTTGTGCTATATTTGTTATAACAGTACTAGAGAACCAAGTCAGGGCTCAAAACCTGAAGGATTTAGGAGACTGCGGTGATGGAGGTGATAGAAAAAAAATCTAGGAGAGAAAAAGAACCTTTAGGAAAACAAACTCATATTTATGCAGAAATCATCTATGAATATACAAAAGCAGAAGAGATGCATTTATAGTGATACTAAGGAATAACATTGTATTGAGTGTTGCAAAGAGATTATCTTTTAATCTCTTTGTAAGGTAGGCAATACTATTTTCTGCATTTTGCAGTTGAGGAATCTAAGAGTGATAAATAAACTTGACCAAGGTCACGCAACTAATAAGAAGCAGTAGCAGAATACAAACCCAGATCTATTGTCATGGAACTTTGTGTCATATTATACCCAAAAGAGTCACTTGGTGGGTCAGGATCTTCCTAGACCACAATTCTCAATCTTTAGGTACTGATTTTATGCAGGAACAGGGCTCGCTCTTTGCCACCGTCACCTTGTTTGAAAGCGTAGCTATGAAGTGGGGAAATGACTAAGAACAAAGAAGCCTTCTAATATGGAGACTTGGCATGCATAGTTCCATATGTCAATCATGTGTCTTTTGTCCTTTCCTAGCGTCCCAATTCTCCTGGCAGTCTGGGGTCCCCTGAGCACCAACCTCAGTCCCCTCTTTCCTCTGCTGTAGCTGCTGTTGTCTCTGTCACCTGGAACACACCTGGGGATAAGCCCAGCTAAAGTAGCTTTCTAGAAGGGTCTTTTATCTCCCCACTGTGAACATCCAGAATTGAGAAAATAATATGTAAGTGCCCTCCACCCAATCCAGCTATCTATAAAAATACCAAGAAGTTTCTCTAAATGAAGGCTTTTAGGAAAATAACAAAAAGAATTGGTTGAGAATGAGATATGGATGTGGATTACTGTATTATCAATGGACGCTTACATTTACATATGAACTCTATAACAGCCACTTTTTGACCTGAAGCCTCCTGATGTTACCATAAAAGAAATATCAGTTTGATGTTTAAAAGTAATTGCCAAGCAGTTTAAATCTTTACTGAAGTCACTCAAAGAATTCTAAGAAGGGATTCATTTACCTCGCCGAGCAAAACTTGCCAGCACTTTGCTCATCTCTGTTTGTAGCTCACACTCACCAGGAGTTGCCCCACATCTCCTAATCTAAACTTCTTCAAAACTCTATCAAAACTTAGCTCCTGTTCAGTCTCTGTTCAGTTGTTTTCAGTTTGTGTTGGGGGGGGCAAGAGCAGGGAGTCTGTCTCCCCCTTCCTTTCTGCGTCTGTTCTGTCCCCAGAATAGAGTTGCTTCTTTGTGTTGTTGTTAGTTGCCACTGAGACCAACACATGGTAAGTACATGCATGCATGCACTTACTCTGTTCCTTAGAGTTTTCAAGGCTGTGACTTTTGGACGCAAATCACCAGGCTTATCTTTCAAGGTGCCTCTGAGTGGGAACCACAACCTTTCAGATAACCAAGCACATAATAGTTTGCACGACCCAAGGACTCCTGAGGAGTGGGGCTCCCTTATCAATGTAAAATCCCCCTAGCCCACCAATCTTATAACAGTTTCCACCCTTTATCCTGACTTCCGGAGCCCAACAGACAAGACAAGATCTTCCTTAAAACTATGAAAGTGAGATGAACCACCCACTACCATTGAGTCCATTTTTTTTTCTAATTTTAATAATCTGTTTGAGGGTAGATGAAACAGTTTAATATTAACTGTCACTATGAGGGACACATTAAATTGTGAGTTCCACACAATGTCATGTTGCCCATGTTACTTCTTATTGGGGAAATCATGGCAGCTCAAATTCCAATAGAGAATTTTCTCTTCTATCAAAAAGAGCTGAATACAATGGAAGGTAGAGGAAAACTTGTGAGCCTTCAAACACAAATAGTTTGGGCTATGCAGAGAGACTGACACAAAGGAAGTGACCACCTAAGTGCAGCTTATATGAAAATCTCTATTCTGAGCTGGTCTGTACTGATTTTGTACCTTGTTGTCCATGGGTGGTACAAATGGTTAACATACTCAACTGCTAACCAAAAGGTTAAACTGGAGTTGCCCAGAGATGTGTCAGAAGAAAGGTCTAGCCAACTACTTCTGAAAAAACAATCAGCCATAGAAAATCCTATGGAGCACAATCCCACTCTGACACACACGAAGTCACCAGGAATCAGAGTTGATGCAACAACAACCAGTTCTGGTTCTGTATTATAGCTTATGTTGCTGTTTACCAAAAACTCTTAGTCTTTGTTTGTGTGGCTTCTCGGTGTTGACTATAAGTATTGTCTGATCTGTTTTATTTCTGAGGAGGTTTGCACCACACCTGGTTGTTTCCCTACCTGCTGTGACTTTTCCCTCTATTTGTGGAGCCCCAAACTACCTCATTGTCTCTATCAAAATGCTCTTTGGGTCAGCTATTTCTGTGCTCTCTGCTGCTGAGCTGTTAGGGGAAAGAATGTATTCAGCTCTTTTTGATAGAAGAGAAAATTCTCTTTTGGAATCTGAGCTGCCATGATTCCCCCAATAAGAAGTAACATGGGCAACATGACATTGTGTGAAACTCACCATTCAATGTGTCCCTCATAGTGACAGTTAATATTAAACTGTTTCATCTACCCTCAAACAGATTATTAAAATTAGAAAAAAAAATTTGTCATTGGGTCATAATGTCCCAATTTATATTAGGGGGGATTTTTTTTTTTTTTTTTTTTTTTTTTTTTTTGGTTTTTAATGGATGATCTCTTGGAAGGAGACTGCCAGGCCTTTATTCCAGGGTGATTCTGGGTGGACTCCAGCCTCCACCTTTTGGTTAGCAGCCAAGCACATTAACTGTTGGCAACATCCAGAGACTCATGTAAATCATACATGCAGATAATCTGTGCTAGAC